AAAGTAAAGTACAGATATCCAAAAAAACGACTTAAGTACAGTAACGAAGTATTTCTACTTCGTTACTATACACCACTGCTTGTAACTGAGTTTTTTTCACAGTGTGATATTAGTACTTTTTCTTCAATGATCTGAATAAAAGTTGTTTAATGAAACCCAGAACCTGTTTATTAACTACAGTGTATTGACCGTTTTAAATGACTATATAGCAGGAAACTTGTTGTCCTTTGACAAGCTTTAACATGTGTATTTGAGGACAAATACTGAGGTCATAGAACCAGCAGATACAATTTTTCTCTGTTAAAGTTATTGCACAACTTAATTTTGCTTTTCATGTGTGCAGTGTGTCTGTGTAGGCTACACTGAATCAAAGGTTATTTAACAAGGAAACGGCAATAATAATGATTAGTACTACTTATTAATAGATGACAAAAGAGTCTGAAATCAAGTTTTTAGATGGGAAGGAGCTGATTGGCTGGCCTGAAATCATGCCAACGGGCAGCAGGCACAGGTAGAAAACCTCTGAAATCTGTTAAAAGTAAAGCAATTTGAAGAGTGAAAGTATGTTTTATATGTTATTACTGTTGTTAATAAGTATTGTAATACGGACCCGTGTTGTGAGCAGAAACATGTGCACCCTGTTGCAGACTGCCGTATTGAAAACGTTATTTAATTATGGGTTGGCACTTCCACTGTGAGTATGTTTGATAGTGACTTTTATGCTGTGAAAAGTCATGATGTTGAAGCACTCTATACACAGCACAGAGGATAATCCTGCAAAAAGATTTATATTTATTTCTTATTTTATGTAGAATAGTTAAAAGTGCAAACAGTAAATAAACTTGAAGGATTTTACATTAAATCGCTTAGTGATGTCATTGTCATGACAACAGAGTCCACTATAAAGTCAAAGTTCAAGTTAAATCAACTTTTTTTACAGTCGGACTCATCACATGTCTCAACACTACAGCCTGAAACATTCACCCAAATAGTTTAAGAAGCCTTAATTAAATCAATTAATTAATTGCATAATGAATCATTACATACAAATAATTTAGTGTTTGGCTATTCACGTTCAATTGTGGGAAAGTGGCAGAAATATGACTTTATCACAGTTAGATATTATGTCCTTTATTTATTTGTTTATGTATTTAATTTAGCTCTCCTTAAATTGATCGCTGGAGCAAACACATTTGCACGCAACAGCTGTCTCTGTTTCCGGCTCTCGACTTCCTTGACTCAGTTTTCATTATTAAAGTTGGATAATGAAACAAGTTGTTGTTTTGGTGCGTTGAATTGCACTGCACGTGTTCATTCAAAGCAACAATAACACAGACAAACCGTTAACCGCGTTAAGGCAGCATCGGCTATCGAACAACGAACTCTAACGTAGCAGAATACATGAACACAAGTAGACCAATGAAATTAGGCAATACCTGTATACTGAATGTGGTGAAGCCTGACCTGAGTGGCTTCTGAAGTGGTAGGATACAGACACGAGAGGCTTTGTTCAGATATCAAAAAGGTGTTTTATTTATAAAACTGCCCTGCTACACGTGTAACCAAATATATATATACAAACAAAACAAAACAAATGTTTAACTTAACTGAATAAAACTCAACTCATCTTAAAGTAACATAATCACGTGCACACAGCTACACACTGATCTTCCTTTCTCCACCCCCCCGTTCAGTCAACGTCATCTCCTTATATAGAGCCTCCTATCAGCAGGATTTAGTTCCTACCATAAGTGCAGGTGACACCAATTACTGACTCACTAGTTAACAGACAAAACCTATAACTTACAGCACCACTTTAGGTAGCCAACAATTGTATATGGTTTACACTTTGCTATATACTAATAACAATGTAAAACAGATCATAACCAACCTACAAATCTACCTGTACATACTCTACT